TAGGGAAAAAGCAGACCCTCCCCCTCGCCACTGCCATGCCCTTCCTTCTGCAACTGCCTGGAACCCGCACCGGGCTGCCCTGTGTCTGCTCTGCGCTGCCACCACTGCCCCACTGGGCAGCCTGGAGATAGCAGAAACGTAGGTCAGTCCAACATGTGCTTCAGGTGCAGGAAGGGGGAGGGGAGGGTCTGCTTTTCTACCACACTGAGCAACAGTTTCTGCCCGGCTGCCACCACTGCTGAGTCTGGCCAGGCAAGTCTGGAGCAGGTGCAGGGTAGGCCGGGTCAGAGCTGTGTGGCACAGATCCCAACCAGTACCGCGGCTCTGGGGCCAGCAGCAGCGTCTGCCAGGAGTCACCACCATCTGGGCTGCCTAGAAAGGCAGTCCAGCCGTGGAACCTTCCCAACCATGCTGCATGCCTAGGGGGCGGCAGGACGCACCACGGCTGGATGGTGCCTGGGCTAGGTGGGACCAAGGAGGACCCACTGTGGGGCGAACAAAGACCCTCCATGGGCCAGATATGGCCCATGGGCTGTATTTTGCCCACCCCTGTGTTATGGCTACAGTGAAGACCAAAGTCAGATCTTTCTGCTCCAAACGTCTGGCTTCCTGCTGGAGTTAGAGAAGAATCTTTGTTCTCTGGGAGAATGTACAGCAACTATGACCTACTCTAATCCTGTCCATTAGAGGGCAGTGGACACAAACATACACATGCACATGCACGCAAACACACACATTAGCTCATTACAATACCTTTCACTTCCTAAAGGACATATTTAAAATAATACACTTTAAAAAAAATAGTGCATACCTTATACTGCCCCAAAAATGGATGCCTTCCACCACTAATTAGCATGTCTTCATCACGATCAAGCATGCATCGTACTGGACAACCAGTCCTGTTAAAGAAAACCTTTTATCATGTAGAACTTGAAATTTACTGCCCCGTCTCTTTTGGAAGAATCTTCCTAAACAGCTAAGTCTCAGAAAGTCAATAGCCACATAAGATAAGAAATAAATCACTAGGATTCTTCCATTTTCTCTTAAGCAAATGGATTAGGTAGAAAATGCTCACACAATGGGACTTGATATTCCTCAAAATTCTTGCAATGGTGCTCATACTAAACAGCAAAAATATGGCTTTTTAGGAACATGGAGGCTAATGCATTATCTTTAATATTCTCTAGCTAGCTTCTCAGAGTACTGCTCTAACCTTCACTAGGAAAAAAATACATATTAATTATGTAACAGGGGTAGGTAAAATGCTAACTAGCCCTGTTTGACCTCTTGACTTTAGTTGACTAATTATTTAACTGAGTTTATATTTCACCTTTAGCAGGAGGAGTTCTCCCTCTCTGTCTGAGTCTGCCATCCTTCCACTGACTGCTCTTCCTGATGTTTCCAAGCAGAAACATCTGGGGACATGAAATAACTTTTATGGCTGACAGAGGACAGAAGAACAAACAACACATTTTAACAGTTTATCATTAAAGGCAAGATGCTTGCTTTGAGCTGGAAAGGAAAAAGTTGCCTGGGCATATAAGCTCCCTTTTAGATACTTTCTGCCATAGTAAGCAACTTCAGTATGCCCTGTTAAAGTTATTGCTACAGAAAGGATCATAAGCAGGACTCTCAACAGAGTGCCTCCCAGCTTGCAGGAGCTACTATGGGAAATACGGAAATGGAACTGGGCATGTAACGTGTGGTCCATACAACTCTCACTTCACGGTCGGTGTTCAGTTAAAACCACAAGAACAGTGCACAGAGACAGAGACCTAAATCAAAACTCCAGCAATGAAAACCTGAAATGGTTGTGTGGGATCCCAAACCCAGATCCTAATCCAATGCTCACGAATGGTCACAATCTGGATAGAACAAAAACTCCAAATCCAGGCATCCCTGAATTTTGGCTTATATGAAACTTGGTTCGCTATTTTATGGCTTGGGACCATATCTAGTTACAAGCAGGAGGTGTGAGTGTAGCCAGAAAGAACAAAAGAAGAGAGAGGCAGAGCAGTGGTGGTCCAGGTTAGGTAGCAATAGACAACACAAAGGATAGACCACACAAAGCAATAGATAACACAACTGGCTGTTGCACCTTTATTTGTCCACAGTGTTGCTGAAACAAGGTTTAGCATGCAGTTCTAAACAAAGGTTGGGACCCACTTCAGTGGAGGGAAGGGACAGAGAGCATCAGCTGCAAGGGCTTTATGGACGCAGCAATAGTCCAGGCATGTGGCTTCTCTCCTTTAGGCTCTTCAGATATAACTGACATCCCACTGTTCTCCACATTTTATTGCTATTACATTCCTCTGTAAGAACAGTCCATTCAAGGGCTGCACCTAGTTAGAAGCAGTTTATATTTCCTTTTCCAGCTAAAAATACTATTATTGACCTGCCCTAGAAATTCACAAGCCATTTTGGAATAAAAAGCTGATGAGGATCCTACCACAGAAAAACAAGTGCTGAAGCCCAAGTTCTGATCCAAAAGTACATCTACCTGCTTCCTCTTCTTAATAATAAAAAAAAGACAGTACTATGTGCTGTGGAGTAAGGAATGCCCCACCTCTCAGCACCGACACTTACTTGAATGCAGCTACAGCTACAACTGTTGACAAAATAGTATTTCTGGTCTCCTTTCCTCCAAACCCTCCTCCCATTCTCTTCACTCGAATCAAAATTCGATTTGAGGGCACACCTAATACATTGGCAACAAATTCCTACAGGAAAAGGAAAAGATGTCATACAGGCAGCAGGGTTTGCAATGGGAGTCAGAAGCAACAGTGTCTCTCAGGCTTGATTTTTTATCTTCATTATCTATGGCCTCAATGTAAGCACTTAGAGAGTTTGCCAGGGGGTCAGACAAGTACATGGGCAGATAATATAGAGCCTTCAAAAAATATGGGTCTTATCTTCACCAGCAGCAATGGCTCCCTGATCATCAATCAGTGTCCTCTCGCAAGAAGCTTGAAACCAAAGAACTGGAATCCCAAGGCCCCTGCTTCCTACTTTCCTTGTGTAGCAGTAGGGTATTTTTAAACAGTTAAGTAGGCACTGTCACACTGGGCCAAACCAACAGCTCAGCTAAGTCCAGTATCCTGTCTCAGAGTGGCCAGACCAGATCCCTTGCCCCCGCACCCCCCAACCAGAAGTGTCTGCAACCCCTGCTGCCTGCCCACTCCCACCACTTACCATATGACCAGTGGTTGCAGAGGTAGCAGCTCCAGCCCCAGGATGCTGAAGCTGCTGCCACTGCTGCTGCTGCTGTGTAGCTAAGCCAGAACCAGGGCCAGAGCTTCCATGTGCTATGTGCCCCCCATCTGTATGGGGGGTGGAGCCATGACTGAAAGTAAGCAGTGGGAAGGAGCAGGGGCTGTGAGGCAGAGGTCCTGGGAGTAGGCAGAGATGATGAGGGGGGCAGCAGCTGTATCTCTGACTCCAACCTCAATGTCAGGTTGGAGCCAGGGTCAGAGCCGCAGTAGCCATCTGCCCTCCTCTCTCCCCTTACCTTGTACTCATATCCAAGACAAGGAGCATTCTTCCCTATGTGTAATGGTGGGGGGGGGGTCCTCATCTTGGATTTGAGGAAATATGGTAATCAGCAATCAGTGCAAACCAAGATGGAATTTTTTGGCTGGATAAACCCATGCTACTTGAACTAAGAATCCTGGTGACCTAATTATTTCACTATATTCCCCTCTGAGCAATCTAAGCTAGACCAATATTTTCACACAAGCACAAGCTAGAATCAATGACAAATTAAGTGTTTATGCCAGCCTAATATGAGTAACCCCCACAAAAGCAAATTAACCAGAGAGAGCAGGACAACTGAGAGTTACCTGTGTCTTTGTTAGATTCTGGGTGGACACAAAGAGCTCCATCTCCCCATCTTCACCTTTTGGCACAGCAACGGTACAGTGAGTCTCCAGGTAAAAGTGCTCCTGCCCACCAATATACATCTCCCCTGAAGAACCAATGAAAATGTGATCAGAAACCTACGGGTTTACCATATCTATGGCTTTGACTGCTGCTTTGTTCCTTCTCTGGTTTCTCCAATTGCATTCCTTCAGGTGACAGAACTCATGGTGTGCAGTTGAAACTCACTATTTCACCCTCTCTTAAACCAGGATTAAGGTAACAATGATCTATCTATGAGATCCAATTATTATCCTGCAGATCTGACTGGACACCTGCATTTCTTCCTTTCAGGAGACAGTAACGCACAATAACCAAAACATCTTTAAAAAGAAGTAGTCATATATAGCAATAGGATTTAAAAAAAAAAACAAAACAGTTTACAAATGTCTCTCTCTCTCCTAAAGCTCTATTATTCCATGGCAGCAATCTACATGGAGATTACCATGGAGTAGATCTATTTATGGAAGAGGTCTACTTCAATGTAACTTTTTCAGTGTGATATAGCCTTCTGAGTCCTTGCCCACATGGAAAATAAACCAAAAGAGTTATTACAGAATAAAGTATTCTGGAATAGCCATTACAGAACAGCTCCCTGTGTGGACACTATCTCACTAAACACATAATTCTTCCTGAATAATTTGACTTTTATTCTTGAAGAGTGTCTAAATGGGGAATTATTATGAAACAATTCATTCCAGGCATTCTGAAACAATTCCTTCTGTAATTGCTATTTCATAACTGCTTATTTTACAGTTATTTGCTGCCAACTATCTTGTTTGAAAAGAAATGATAACTCACCTTCCAATATGTGGTCAGATTCTTCAAATCCTTTCTGGACATTTCCTTTGTTAATCTTCCTTATACGCTTAAAAAAGGACTTTTTCTCAATAGCTTCCTGAGAATCATAGCACATATTAAGTTTTGTTAGGGAGACAGAATGGGTTTTCAACAAAGGAAATGTTTGCAAAGAATGGCTGCTTCCATGGAAAATGTTAATTTTTCATAAAAATATGCTGGCTAAAATTGAGCTATTGTAGTTTGCTCCTTACATCCCATCCTCCTCTAGTGGCTGGATCCCTTAGTGCACCAGGGCAATGGGCTCCATACAGCTTCCCCCATACCAAGAAAGAGAAATGTGATGCATTATGGGAAATGTAGTTCTTTGGATTCCTGGGCCATAACAGAAAATAGGGGTGCAAGGACCAAACTGCAGTCCTGGGAACTATCGCAAGAAGTATAAAAACTATGAAGGGCTAAACAATAATAAAAAAACCCTATTAGGGGTGCACCGATGAAGATTTTATTGGCCGATACCAATAGCCAATGATTAACCGACCGTATTGGCTGATGCTGATCCCATAACCAATATTTAGTAATAGTGCAAGGCATTTTAAACTACTGACATAGACCTTTTTTCTGTTTGTTTTTCATTTATAACACACACACACACACATAGATGGATAGATTTTTTGTGTGTTCCTGCTTCTACAAACATATTGTAGCAAAATAAAAACAAACACATATTAACTTTAAAACTGCCTGAAGCATGCAATGATTTTTTGTCCTATAGCCAGTATGTCAGACATGTTGCACTGTGATAACACTACTTCATTCACAATGAGCCGGGGCGTACATGCTATACAAGATAAGCTTGGCAAACCGGAGTCTTGCGTTGCCTTTGCTATGGTTTCTTGTGTTATCCCTGATAACGGCATGAACTTTTGTCCTCGGGATTTTCCATGCTGCAAACATCTTGTCAAATGCCATTGAAATAGCTTCAGCCATATGGGAACCACTGAGCTCCTGGGCCTGTAGTACTGCCCTCTGTAAACTGTAATTCACATGTATCCATTTGGCACTGAAACTTGGCATTGACATAAGTGACATATAAGAGCTCCAAATATCAGTTGTAAAGCTAAGTGCTGATATATGATTCAGGGACCGTGATTTTCTCTGTTTAAAAATCACAAATTCTCTGATTAAAACCCCCCAAATCCATGTTTTTCCATGAATAAAATGAAACTCCACTCTCTATATAGGTATCAGTTGAACACAGCATTTTATTGATATATTTACAATTTTAAAGCAATTTGGAAGCCTACCAGTGCCTCAATAACTATAATAAAATGCATTCTAAATACCTATCAATTTTGGCATTTGATTTTGGATTTTTTATCATGAAAAAATCAGAGCTCCCCCTGCCCCCTTTGCTCACCAGGACACAGGTCCAGCTGCAGCTGTCCCCCCTCACTGCTTTGTGGTACTGAGAAGCCCTGATATGCTTGTGCATTGCCCATGGCATTGCCACTCACTCTCGACCTGCAGCCCTCCAGCCCTGCTGCTGCCCCTCACTCTCAACCCGCAGCCCCCACAGTCCTGCTAGTGCCCCTGACTCCCCACCAACAGCCACCTGGGCTCTGCCAGTGCCCCTCACTCCCCACCCACAGCCCCCACCTCCCCTAGCCCTGCTGGAGGGGGCCCCCCAGCTACCAAGCCTACTAGGCCAGGGACCTGGGTCTGCAGCCCCCTGCATCTGCCCATGGGAGGTGGCAGCTGCTGTGGCAGAGCAGAGCGCAGAACCCAGTTCCCCCTCCCCCATGGGCAGCATGGCCGAACCAGAGCCCACTGGAGGGTGGGTCAGGCTGGCCACTGTGGACTCAGGCTCCCTACCCTCCTGCCTTCCCCAACCCCCCAGGGCCTCCAGGGCCCAGCGGGATGGACCCAGCATTGCAGAGCAGAGCAGGTCCAGGCAGGGAAGTTTGAAGCCACCACCACAAGCCCCGGGTGGGCAGGGGGCACCTCACCATGGTGGTGTGGAGCTCCCAGTGGTGGTAACTAGCTTCCACGCCCTGCTCTGCTGGGTTCTGCCCCCTGGGCTGCAGAAGCCCTGGCCCGAGCCCTGGCCCAAGCCCACCCAGTCCCGCCCTGGGCACGTGCCTCCCATGCCCCACCAGGAGTGAGCACAGTGGCAGGGAGCCAGGCCCCACCCTTCAGATGAGCTGCCTGCAGCTCCATCCCACTCCCTACCTGGGCCCTGTGGCAGTGCATTCCAGACCCAGGACCCACGCACCACTCACTACCCCAGCTGGGCAGCACCCCAGCCCCAGCTCTGCACTGCCCTGCCCAACTCCCTCCCTCCCTCCGTCCCTCACTATGAGGGCCTCAATTTCTGCCCACCACTTACCTACAAGAGCTGCTCTCTAGGCTGCCTGGTGGCCATGTACATATGTGTGTGTACACATGCACATGGCACCCCCTGCTGATCACCCTTTTCCTATTTCTCCCAGCCCCTTACAGGCTGGAACTCTGCCAGCCTGCAATGGGAAACCCACTGTTTCCCACGTTTTTCTCCTTTAAAGGATAAAATCTAGGTTTTGCCACGTATTTCCATGGTGAACGGAAAACCCAGATCCATGATGATCATCTTCAACCAGTATCTGTATGTGTTTTAAAAAGACACTGTACAGCTCTGGCAGCACAGTCTCAGCTATAAACTTTCTTCTAGGCAGTGTGTAACAAGGCTTCAGGCATTCAACGAGACAGGAGAATCCAGTATATTCTACACTGGAAAACGGCAATCATCCAGAGCTATATATTCCACTAAACAGTTAGTAATTTATTTAGCCCTGACAACTCCACCTCCAAATTCCTGTGAGCATTTTAGTGCTTCGTGTAATGATAGTTGCTTCGGCACAGCTTGTTCCTGCCCTGACTCTTTCTTTTCTGGAGCCATCTTTAGGAAATCGTTGTATTCTGTAGCATGGTACATCTTGATGGGCTGTATTAAATTTGTTGTGTTGAAATATTTACTGGTATTGCCTCCACACGAAATATCTGCAGCACTTACTTTGCAATCAACTCATCTGTTGTTCTTTTCAGACACTTTAAAAAAAATCCATATTGCGCGCCTTTGAGACATATTTATAGTTGATAGAGATCGCACAGTGCACACCACAGCAAATACTTTCTTGTCTCACAGCTTACGCATCACAGCATTCCATGTGCCAGAAGGCATAATTATCAGTAAATATTATTATCAGCCAATTATTATTGGCTACAATGACCAAAAAAAGCTGATAGCCAATAACATCATTCCTCCTTTTATCAGTGCCAATCTGATAGCCAATCGATATATCGGTGCACCCCTAATCCCTATGTATTCAGGTATAAGAGCTAAACTAGCATATTCTGGGGTCTTGGGCTGACTAATCAGAGGCTAGGCCTATGCTTCCTTACCTCAATTGTGACAATAGGTGTGAGGTCTTCATATTTGATCTTCACAGCTTTAGCAGCTTTTCGGGAATGTTCTTGAGTGTCTGCGAGAACTCCACCAATGATATGGCCCACACAAGTAACCTATGCATGAAAGGAAATTCCATTACCCAAATTATTCATGAAGTTAATTTCTCCTCTCTTCCTTCTGCAATATCCCCTCATCTGCCTCCCCCTTTTTAGAACAAATGGCATACACCTTCACATATAATGGAAACATTTCTAATTTCTAGCTGCACTGGTATAAATTCAAAGAAATTATTTTTTGCTAACATTTAGGGATTCCAGACATCCTCCCTGCCTTCATATGACAAAAGCTACTCCAAAGGCATACACCAGGAGTTACTTGCATTCTGTTGTAAGAAAATATGGCCCCTGCTAAGCACGAAGAATACTTGGTTTGGGTGAGTGTTCCAGCTGTAAGCAGTCTAAGGAACAGCATTCAAGTGTAGCCAGGTTGAGGATGAAATTCTGGGCCCTCTGGAGTTAGGAACAAAACTCCCATTAACTTAGTAGGGTCAGGATTTTATCATGCAGTGGAGGGCTTCAGTCTACAAGTAACCCCTCACTCACCTGGCATTGTACTATTCCTTGAAAATAACTTTTAAAAAAGAATAAGAAACTACATACTGTGTCATCAGCAAAGACAGTCTCATCATTAGCAATCCCAGTGACATTGCTCCCAGGAATATCCTTAGCAGAGATGAAATACACAAAGCCAGGGACACTCTGGGTTTCAGTTGTATCTACAGAACTAAAGAAAGGAATGGCACAAGCAACAGAGTATTATTATCTTGCATTTACATTGCCCTATAAAGAAGTGCACATGGTGTATTATGAAATATATACAGCCTACTTTTCTCTAGTCTTGCCCTTTGTACAGCTGTTCATATGTGCCAAATGGGTAGAAAATGACACCAGATCAAAATGAGCACTTTGCTTCCACCTTGCACTCTTTTTGCATGAAGATAAATGGGTATGCAAGGTGCAGAGCAGGGCACAATCACATTGTCAGAGTCCAGAGGTCAGGATGGTCATAAATAATCTCTGACTGCTGCACTATTACCAACATTAAGAAATTAGTAATAGAAAACTCTAATCTATTTAGATGCTTTTCAATATGTTACAACTAGAATTCAGCCTGTAACTTAGTATTACATTAATTGCTAACCATTTGCAAACTGCATACATACAATATTTTATTTAGAAACACAGATCCAGAGTGGTTTGGGCCACTATTCTGCTTAAATTTACCATTTACAAGTACAGAGCTGTAAATTTGATTACAGCTTAAAATCCTGTAAACAATCTGACCAAACTTCTATTTCCAAAATGACTGAAAATATCATTTAGTAACACTTTTGTCTATAGAATGTCACTTTTTGTTACAGCCATTAAATGTTGCTCCAGTTATAAATAATTTTTACTACACCAGTATTTTCCAGGTTGCTACAGTCATTCCAAAGAGGATCAGAAAATGTATTATAAGTATTTCTAACATGAGGAATAATCGAATACACGATACAGCAATGTTTATATAGAGATGCAAAAAAAAGTTATAAAGATAGATACACACTATTATTTCTGACTGTAGAGAAATCAAAGCATGAAGATGTGAAGCAACTTCCCCATGCTCACAGAAGTAGTCAATACTAAAGACAGGAGCAACATCCAGTTAAAACAAGAATTAATTCAGGGAAATCTTATGGCCTGTATTATGAAGTACGACAGATTAAATGATCATAACGATCCCTTCTTGCCATAGAGTCTATGAATCTTGACTCCCAGCCTGATAATTAATGGATCAATCTACTTCCCCAGACTACACTGTAATATACAGCTTTCAGATGAAATAGGAATGTATACCTAATCTTTCTGATCACTGGGATTGTTGAGAGTCACATGGCACCTTTTGCAAGTTATGGCTGGGCCTAAATGAGCTCATAGCCATGTATTATCCTAAGTAAGATTATAGTGCGTGCATAGGAGGACTGATCTTTGTGTACAGTTAGTTAAAGTTAGGATTCCACTGGGACAAAATACACTACATAAACATAATAAACTGCTCCATTTAGCAACCACTGAAATGCAACCACTGCTAAGCAGAAATACGGATGCAAAATTTTGATTCCCTACGGCCCATTTATGATTGATATACACCTGAATCAATGTAAATGAAAACAAAAGCTCAAAAGAGTGGGGGGAAAAAAAAATCAGTAGATGTCTTTCTGAAGGTCAACAAAAGAGGCATTCACCCAACATTTCTCTCTCAAAGTTGTGTACAGATTCATAACTGAGTGCTTGTAAGTGATTGATGGAACAGGCAACAATAAAACCCACACTACCATTCATTTTTTATAAACTGACCTTCATAAAAACATATTACAAGTGGCTTAAGGTTTCACTGAGGCATCTTGCAAATGAAATGAATAATTATCTGGGTTAATAATGGAGCCATTACAAATAGAAGGGCCACTGATTTGCTGCAGCTGAATGATTTATTGTCTTCAGCAAAATTCCTTTAATATTTGCAGTGTCTTTAGTTTGAGTTCCTAAAACTCCCATGCAAATTTTGCTGTAAATTTTTCCACTGAGCTCTGCTTTTTGATAAACAAGTACTTGTAGAATGGAATGTATAAAAAGAACATCTAACACTGAAAAACAGGGATTCTAAATGTACAGGCAGTCATGCATGAGCCATTTAGACTATCACGAGTTGAAGGCTATGCTAGATTTCACAGAAAAGTTTATTTTTCACTGCTTTTGAAATAAGGTATCAGAAATGCCCTCTAAGTGGTCTCCAAGCCATTAATATACAAGCAAACACTCATTTTGGTAGATTTGCTAACTGACAATTAATCTAGTGTCACTGAAGAAAATGAGTTTTCCCATTGACTTGAATGGATCTAGGATTTCACCCAGTGAATCTATAGGCTGATTACATGTTTACTCTAATATGGATGAATCTTCCACCCTGAACCTGCTCCTGTACAACATGGATCAACTTTCTTGTTTCTAATTCAAACATACAATGAACACACATGATAAGGCACCCCACACACTGTAGGAAATACGTCAAGATAGTTCAGGGGGATAAATCGAATAGTTCCCTGTGTCTACACTGTAAGTACAATTGTGCTTTTGTTAGCAGTTCACAGTATTCTCCTATGACCAGTTACAACATCCATGGTTAGGATATGATGACAAAGCAGTTTCTATCATGATCACTGGGTCAACTGAGTTAGTGCAGTCAATTTTTACCATGCTGCTAGACTTTTATCAGCACATTCTGGGAAAAATGCGAGAAGCTTCAAATTCTCTCTCAGAAAGAAACAGAATGTCCTTAAGAAAGCTCACACAAAGCAATAGCCGTAGCATGTGTAAAAATGCACTCTGGGCTGTCCTACACCATATAAATCAGGGAGAAAGGAGGACCATTACATTCAAAACCAGCCTATACTACAACATAATGGCATTATGGCACAGATGACACCATCTGCTATGTGAGGCCCTAGGCAGGAATGGCACAACTGGCTGCCCTGATTGCAAACTGTATTAACCAACCATGCCCTGCCTGGACAGTCATTGAAGCCTGTGTTTTGAACTATCTATACTCATAAATAAAGATGTATAAAGTATGTACAGATCTTTATGCTCATAAACAGAAATTCAGTCACCCGTTCATATAATATCATTCTTCTGAGGGTTTGGTCCAGAGCCACCTAAGAACAAGGTAAAAGAACAAGGATATCCTGCCTTAATAGGGAGGCTGATACAGGGATACAAGTAACACCTGCCCAAAAGGTCTTTGCATAGCTTTGTCCCAAATTCACACTCAAAACAGTGTTTATGTCCCTAGGTCTCAGATCCATCCACTCTGTGCCTGTCCCTCTTCTCAATTTTACCCTGCACTCTTCAATAAAAGAGACAGAGTAGCCAGGGATTCTGTACTTTCCTCTGCCTCTCACAAAAAAGTTTGCTTAGCACTTAACTCCCAACCATGCTGGGGCATGGTAATAACCTTGTGTTCCCAGATGTGCACCATACATGGACTAGCAGAAATGTTTTCTCTCCTTTTTTTAGAGTATTCTCTGTAGGGTGTAAATGGCTGCAGGTCACAAAGCTCAGCAGTTCACCTGAAATAAATGACAGTCAACTGACTCTAGCTTTCACTAGTGGAAAACCTCTCTCCTCTTCAGCAAACATTCTGATGACCAGGTACTGGCAAGTCTTCAGCCATTACTAGCAGAGAGGCAGCACTTACATGATTTTGGCATGAGCTTTGGTGCTGGTAACCAATGTACAGTAGAGTTCATTTTCATAGTGAGGTATGTCATCACAGTAGACAGCCTCCCCGCATGCCTGTTTGGCCGCCGAAAGGTGCACCAGGGGTCTGCCCACCGTATCTTCCACAGCTTGTCCTGGAGGCACTTCCTGCAGCAAAATACGTAGCTATGTAGTGCTGTTCCTATCTTAGGATATTCCAATGATAAGGCTGAGGAAGCATGATGGGCAAGGGGCAGCATGTGTTATAGTGAAGAAGGGAATGGGAAGAAGTAGATGTGTGGGAGGGCAAAATGAATAAGGGTGAGTGACTGTGAGTGTGGAGTGGAAGGAGGCTGCAGAGAAGCCATTCATAAACTAAGGGTCATGTTCCCACTTGAGGTTGCAGCACTTACAGACGGAGTCATGAGCCCTACAGAAATTCTGTTGGAAAAACTGGGCTCACTCCAGAATTGGCGTCACAAGCTGACCAGAAATGCAGACATGGATCCCAAAGTGGCCCTGTGCACCTAGAAAGATTTGCTGGAAGAGGGGTGAGGAAAGGGTCTGAAATTGCTTTCAAGTGACTCAGAAGCTTGAAGGGAAACTACAAATCTAAAAAACTTTTCCCTGATCATAGGTGGAGAAGTAATATGAACAGGCAGGGAGATTATGTGGTGGATATGCAGTGAGAGAGATAGAAGGGAGGCTAGCCAAGAGGTAGGGCAAGCAGGAAGACAGCTTTAAATTGAACTTGGAACTGGATGGGAAGCTACTGAATATGACACAAATAGCAGAAACCATGGTCCTGAAGGGAGAGAGTAATCCAATCTGACTACAACCTTCAGGGAACTATATACTCCAAGAGTAAGATTTAGGGGAAACTGGGAGAAAATAGCATAGTACTCAAATGAGAAAGTGATTGAAGCCTGAATAAAGACCTCAACAGAAGCAGTATTCAAGCAAGCCCAAATACTGGCCATGTTCAGAGTATAGATAAGAGAATAAAGGGAGTTTAGAAATACAGATGAGTCCAAGCCTGGACTGTATGAATAGTGTTACTCACTTGGAAAAGCTGGACATTGGCAATGGGATCTTTGTGAAACAGCTCAGTGGCACTCAGGTAACTGGAGGGAAGCATCTCGCTCAAGTTATTCTGCCAAAGATATATTAAAAACATGACAATTTATTCTATATGTTTTGTCTCCCCTTTTTCAGCCCTCCTAGACAGTCTATAATACTTTCTTCATCATTTTAACTTTAGACTGTACATTTTTATGTCTAATGATTCATGTATCTGTAACCAACAAAGTCAATTCTATTCATTGTCCCCTTTTTGAGATTTGTCTACATAAAGGGTAAGAAAAAGCTTCTGCTTTAGCTTGACAGATGTTCATGCTCTTAATATAGAAGGGCCAGCCATCAGTTCTTTTTTGTACAATATAAAAGGCAAACAATGCCACAGGCCTCTGTGAACAGGAAAGGCAATAGTCCTGGTAACAGTATGAAGAGTACATGGAAGGAGAAGAAAGTGGGAGCTTCCCTTGCTAGCTCCATTTGCCACAGAGCAGAATCCATTGGAGGAGAGGTGTGTGGGCCAGCACTGATTTAGTGAACCTGCTGAGCAGAAAGACCAGGGAAGCTGTGGGAGCTCGTACAGTGCAGAGGAGGCTGGGAAAACAGTTTCTTTTCACATCCAACACAGACTGTTTACTGGGATCAGCCTTTGCCTCTATGTGCTAAGGCCTTCCAACTCTCTGTACTCAGCAGCACTGCTTAATTTTTTATTTAACTCTCTCTCCTCCAACCCACAACAAGAAGAGAGCAATACTCACATTGCCATTGAGCTGCTGGCTTAATTTCTGAAGCACGGTCAGGTAAAACTTAAAGAAGAAACTGAGTGTGAGTATGCGTCGGAAATCCACCATCCCACCTGGAGCTGAAGGAGACAGGTTCATCTCATCTGCCAACAAATGGCAGGCCTCCTGCATCAGTTTTTCATTCCAGTCTCTGTCAAGGAACAAATAATAATACTATAGTATGAGGCCTTAATTCCTCCTCCCAACATCTAAGTATGACATCCTAATAAACAATGACAAATGTCTGTCTCCTCATTCACCCTTTACTCAAGCAGAAATCATAGTGAAGTTAAAAGGAGTCATACAAAAGCAAAGAGTAAAAGGCTATTGTACTTTGCAGTACTCCAAAGATGAATGATTCAGATCATTTCACCTCAGTACCTATTCTGCCTCTGCTCTCCAAAAACACCAGTCTGGTAGCTCAGATCTAGTAAAAAATGCTCTTCCAGAATGTTTTTCACATTGGAAGAATCCTGCTTTGATCATATTGAAATGTTTAGTGGATATGTATCCATTGTATTGCAATTTTCCATAATAAATTACCAAGGCATTTCTTTGACTTCATCTTTTGGCATATATGTTACAGGGGGTGACATATTGTGTGATGTGTTTTGTGATGTGGTGGTATGTTCTAAGTCCCAGTGCCTACAATGTGCTATAATATTCCAAGATTTCCACTTTTCACCCCAATCCAGGATGAAGCAGAAGTCTGAAATCCAGGAATCTCCCATAAGATGAGAGTTCTAGGTTTCATCCTCTAATAATCAGGGTACTCAAACAAACTGTACAGGCCCTGAAATGTGGTTCATATGTGATTACGGTTCATAAAGGCCAGCTTCCTTTCTCAAACCTTTGAGGTTGCCCTAATCCCCTGAAGAGATCACTGGAAATAGTGTGAGGCTCCAAAGAGGTCTGGCTACACAGATCTATGCTAGATATTCAGGCATAATGATGCCAAGGTATACATTCACGCTTCTCACTCTTCTGTTTCTTGTCTTTCACTGTCTGTAATAGACACCATATATGAGGGTTCAGAATATCTAAGGTAACACTATAAAAATAATCTTTAAAAATGAGCACTTCTGCACCAATACTAAAGAATCAGGTAATGATCAGCAGGGATACTTGTTTTCTGTTTGCCATGCAAAAAACACAGTAAAACCTGTATTTTCTCATTTTAAGGACAAAAACACAGATTTTTTCCTTTAAAAGAAAAAATGTGGCAAGTGGTGGGTTTCCCCTTGCAGGCTGGCAGTGTTACAGCCTGCAAGGGGCTGCAGGGAGCAGGAGAAGGGAGATCAGGCAGCAGGCACCATATGCATGTGTGAGCGTATACGTGCACGTGGCTGCCAGGCAGCCTGGACAGCAGCTCCCACAGGTAAGTCTGGCAGGTGAGGGGAGGATTGGGACCTCCATAGTGAGGGAGGTTGGGAGTTGGGTAGGACTGGGGGGGGGTGCTGCTGCTGCCCAGCCTGGACAGCGTGTAGGGCCCAGGCCCAGAAGGCATGGCCGCACGGCCTGGACTGCAAGAGGGACTGAGGTATGGGTGGCTTGTCCAGGGGGTAGTTGGGGGGGCTGACTCCTTGCTGCTGTGCACACTCTTGGGAAGGACGTGGGGGGAACATGCCCCCCAGATTTGTGAATGGGGTGGGTGCGGGCTGCCCACTGTCTGCTCCGGCTCCTCGCCCTGCTGCCCTCCACCTGGGGCCTCCGTAGCCCAGCAGGCAGGACCCAGTGTGGCAGGGAAGAGTGGGCCTGAGTGGGGAAGCTTAAAGCCACTACCACAAGCCCCACACCACTATGGCAAGGTGCCCCCTGCCCGCCCAGCAGCAGCAAGAGGCACAACTCTGCACCATCAGCCCCGCTGCTGCTGGGCAGGCAGGAGGTGCTTCGCCATGGTGGTGCTTGGGTCGCAACAGCAGCACTGAGCTTCCCCATCCCGCTCTGCCCTGCCACACCAGGTCCCACTCACTGGGCCCCAGAGGCCCCAGGGGAAGACGAGAAGGGGGAGGGAAGCCAGGCTCCACACTGCTCCACCACAACAGCCACTGCCTCCCACAGGCAGCAGCTGGGGCTTGGGTGCTGCTGCAGGGGGCAGGGGGCTGCAGACCTGGGTCCCTGGCCCCATAGCTCTGGCAGCTGGGACCCCCTCTGGCAGGGTTGGGGGGAGGGCTGTGGGTGGGGACTGAGGGGCACCAGCAGGGGTAGGGATGCTGTGGGTGGGGAATGAGAGATTTTGGGGTTTTTCATGAGAGAATTTGCAATGTTTTAAAATCAGAGAATTTATGATTTTTTTAAACAGAGAAAACCGGGATCCCTGATGATCAGGTACAGCCCTAAACAGCCAGGATGGATTTATCAAGAGCAAGTTATGCCTAACCAATTTGATTTCCTTCTATGACAAGGTGACAGGCTGAGTGGGTAGGGGAAGAGAAGTGGGGAAGAGAAGTGGATGTGATATACTTTCACTTTAGCAAAGCCTCTGACACTGTCTCTCTCAATGTTCTCATTAGTAAGCTAAGGAACTGCAGATTAGATGGAAGTATTGTAAGGTGGCTTCATAACCGGCTGGATCATCGTGCTCAATGAACAGTCAATGGCTCAATGTCTAGTTGGGAGGAGGTATTGAGTGGAGTTTCCTAGGGGTCTGTCCTGCTTTCCTGGGCCTGCAGGATAGGACTGAGTGCATATTTAGAAAATAGGCAAATGACATCAAGTTGGGTGGAGTTGCAGACACTCTGAACCATGAGCAACTGGTTCCTCCTGAGTCTGGGGCGGCACCAGCGGGACATGACTTGGGGGGTGTTCCCCCAGCGGCCAGCTGGTGACAGCAGCGGCCAGCTGGTGACTGGAGGAGGGGAGGGGCCAGTAGCTGCCCACTAAGCATGGCGGTGGCACGGCAGCGGCAGAAGTGCTGGCACTTCCGCATGTGGCACAGCACTGGTGGAAGTCCCAGCACTTCTGCATGCAGCATGGCCGCGGTGGAAGTGCTGGCACTTCTGCAGCTGCCGTGCCACCAGCGGAGCCAATTTCCCAGGGGGCACTACCACTCTTCATGCCCCCTACTAGCTGGAGCGCTCTGTCCGGGGGGCACCAGCACTCTCAGGGGGGGCACATCCGTCCACCTGGTGTCTCCCTTACGCATTGCCTATACTCTGGACAGCAGGACTAGAATTCAGAATGACTTTAACAAACTGAAGAAATGGTCCAAAAATCAATCAGATGAAATTCAACAGGGACAAGGACAACTGAATTCAGGATGGAAAACTTGCTTGCACAAATACACACTGCAGAAGGCCTGGCTGGAATATGGTACTCCAGAAAAGGACCTGGGGGTTATGGTGGACCATAAGTTAAATACAAGCTAACAGTGTGCCCTTGTTGCAAAAAGAACCCATAGCATAATGGACTCTATTAAAAGAAGCATCACTTGCAAATCAAGGAAAGTGATTCCTCACTCTACTCCTGATGAAGCCTCATCAGTGCAAATACTGTGTCCAGTTCTGGACTCCTCATTCAAGAAAGACAAGGGCAAATTAGAAAGAGTCCAACAGAGAGAAAAAATTGTTAGAGGCATGGTAACACGATTTATGAGGACAGACTGGAAGAACTAGAATTATATTGTTTGGAGAAGAGAAGATTGCCCAGTGTCTGCGGGCAGTCGCCAATCGCCAGTTGGCGTTCGCCACCCTCCACCCCCACCACTGCTGCAGCCGCCTGCGGTCGGTCCCTGCTCACCCCCATCACACCCCCGCTACCACCTGTGGGCAGTCACCATGCCCTCACAGCCCTGGGAGGCACGAGGCATTCATGGTCCTCAAATACCTGAAGGGTGGTTATATTAAGGATGGAAAAGTTTATTCTATGTGGCCACAGGGGACAGGACAATAAGCAATTACCTTATATTGAAGCAACGACAATTTAGGTTGGATATTAGGAAGAACTTTCTAATTATGGTGTTGGCCAAGCATTGGAAAAAATCTACCCAGATTGGTTGTGGAATTCCACCCTTGGAATTTTTTTAAGAGTAGGTTAGACAAACACTTGACTGGGATAGTCACTGGGCCTCCCACTCCAGAAAGGATGTGGACAGATTGGAGAGAATCCAGCGGAGGGCAACAAAAATGGTGAGGAGGCTGGGGGACATGACTTATGAGGAAAGGCTGAGGGAACTGGGCTTATTTAGTCTAGAAAAGAGGAAATTGAGAGGGGACTTAATAGCAGCCTTCAACTACCTGAAGGGAGGTTCGAAAGAGGATGGAGCTCGACTGTTCTCAGTGGCAAGGAGCAATAGTCTCAAGTTTCAGCAAGGAAAGTTTGGGTTAGGTATTAAGAATAATTTTCTCGCTAGGAGGGTAGTAAAACACTGGAACAGGTTTCCCAGAGGTGGTGGAAGCTCCATCCCTGGAGGTTTTCAAAACCTGTCTGAACAAAGCCTGGGCTAAGATGATCTAGTTGGGGATGGTCTTGCTTTGAGCAGGTGGTTGGAAAAGATCAGCATTTCTCAACTGGTGGGTCACAGCCCAAAAGTGGGTCTTAAGTATATTTGAAAGGGTCACAAGCAGGTCCCCAGAAAAACCCATGAAAGCATGGGTTTCCCCTTGCAGGCTGGCAGCATTCCAGCCTGCAAGCGGCTGCTTGGAATGATTAGAGTCAGTGGGTGCACGTGTGTCTGTACACGTAGACACAGGTGGCCAGCACAGAGTGAGGCCAGGTCATGGGAGCAGCCCCAGCCATTGGACACAGGTAAGTATGCGAAGTAGGGGATGGAAGTCCAAGAGACTGTATGGATAGCTGAGGATATGTGTGTGGGTCTGCCTCCTTGCCTGCCTGCCTGCAGTGGGGGAAGGAGGCAGAGGCGGTCCTTTGCAGCAGGGCACTACATGCCTGGTCTGGCAGCACAAGCTAGTGCTCATACACACAGGGGCCCACACTTGCTGCTCACACTCTGGTCCAAGTGGGACAGAGGCAGCTAGGGGCCCCCTCCAGCCAGGCTGGGAGGGGTAGGGGGCTGCAGATCAGGAGTGAGGGGCACCAGCAGGGCCCGGAGGGGCAGAGCACTGCGGGTCAGGCACTGGCAGGGCCAGGGGGAAGTGGGTCAGGACAAACCATCGATCTTGGCAAATGGGTCCTGGTACAAAAAAGTTTGAGAACCACTGCACTAGATGACCTCCTTAAGGTCCCTTCCAACCTTAATTTTCTATGATTCTATACTCAGGGATGATCCTGCCTTGAACAACTGGTTGCACTAGGTGACCTCCTGAGTTCTCTTTCAACCATATTATTCTATGATTCCATGGTGATTCTCCTACCTCCCAATGAGTTTCTGGCAAGTTTTTACTGCTAGTACAGTTGTGGGAGCCATTCCTCCATAGCTCAGTTTAATCTTTTGCACTCGGTGGCTGTCCTCTTGAAACAGGACTCTCATTCCACAGGTCACTATAGCAATGTCATCCTCACGCCGAGTAGCCTGCTTGAAGGCTGAGAAATATTCACCCTAGGGGAAAGAAAAAGAATTTATTCACCACCTGGGTCAAGCCTGAGGTGTGATGCTAGGTCATTCATGGGCTGGACTTGGTCCATGGGCCCACCTTAGCATAAGGTGCAGGCCCAGCTGGGGCCTGATCCAGCTGTGTAGGGTCAGGGCCCTATGCAGCCACATGCGACCAGCATGGGTGGAGGCTGATCCCTCTGCACAGGGCTAGCCCAGCCAGGGCTAATCCTGCTGCCTCAGGGCTCAGAAATTTGGTGGCAGGAGAGTGATGGCAGTGTTAATTATTGCCACTTCCCCACTGCCAAATTTAGAGGCCTGCCAGGGGCCCGGTGGGCCCGAGGGCATGGCTCCATGGGCAGGATCTGGCCCACAAACTGGGCATTGAGCACCCATGGTCTAGTTCATATGTTTCCAACAGTACAGCTTAGCCTTATAACCTTCTCCTTGTTCAAAAAATGCACAGGCAGCTCTCTTCAGCCAATCCCACCATCCAGAATAGAGTTACTGCATTTCTCAATCTCTGCCTTAGTTCAAAAACACATTGCTTCTTCTCTTGCATCTACCTCTTAAGTTCTGTGTTTTTCTCACAAGTATCTCTTTAAAGCAGGGGTGTCAAACATAGGGCCTGCAGGCTGGATCCAGCCTGCACAGCTCCATAATCCGGCCCCTGGTGCTGCCTCATTTGCTGTGCTGGATTATACCTGCGCACAGTGCCTGGGACACGCACCGCCTGCAGCACTTGTTTGGGCTAGGTGCCAGGCTGTACCACACACAGTGCTAACTTGGGCCAGTCCCAGACTTCACTGCCCATGGCACCCACTTGGGCCAGCATCTCAGACCGGCTTGACTGGGTGCCAACAGTGCCAGATGAGGCATGCAGGCAGAGGGGGTCCATAGGTCTGATCTGGGTTGTGGACTGGCCCTACACCTCTCATCTGGCCTGCAGGGCCCAATGCTTGGCTTAAAGTTTCTTCTCTAGGGGTCAAGTTTGCAACTGAGCTCCATAAATTAACTTATGAAAAGTGCTGACAGAGCAAAGACCAGCAGGAGTATGTCTGGTGCGGAGGACTTTGCCTTGCACTTACTGAAACACAGTACAGCCTTGTGTTCCCTGATGCATGCTCCATACATGGACTTGCACAAACTATTTCATTTTCTTCAGAGCGCAAACAGCTAAAATTACAAAGCTCAGTAATTCACTTGCAAGTAATGAAGCTTAATAGTCTACAAATTATGCCAGTTTAAACCAGCTCTTGGTTCATGATAAAACCAATTCCTCTCTTCCATTGCTTCAGGCTATGAGAGTTTGAAGTTACTGGCATTTTGCAGCAGGAAAATATCAGTGTGTCTTCCTTCTTAGTAGTTTGCTGTAAAGGGTTTACAGAAAGATCTGTTCAGTTAATCTTCCCCAATCAAAATCAGCATTTATTCCTTCAATGTAAAAAAAAAATTCCTCTATTGTTAGTGAATGCAGTTTCTTCGGGGGGGGGGCTGTTTTGTGCACTGCCAACACGATGTGCAACTAAAACACACATTTCACCTCCTGGATGCATCTTTCTGCTCCTGACCTAATTCATGGGCAGCCAGCAGATACCATGACAGTAGCCTGCATCAGCCCTTTGTGGAAAAGGCATCTGCTTCTGCTGCTTTGCTTTTTAAGCCAATTAACTATCAAAGAGGAAGAAATGCTGACTCCCCCTTCACCTCTGCATTTCAATGGAGCTCTCCAGGAATGAGATTTCAGCAAGAGGGTGATACTTGGCAGTTCTTCTGCAGACTCCCTATCTGAGGTTCTGTTTTCAGGGTCAAAAAGGTGCATTATTTAACTTGCTGAAAATCCTATTGGAAACAAATCTTGTTGGCCTAATAAAAGATATCATCTGTACTATGAGTCCTGATTGCCTATTGGAAACAAGACACCTGTGATAGTTACCCTGTGGTAGCAAGGTGAAATCAACCCTACAGCGCCTGCCAATGGCTGAGCTAACCTAGTTTATCTAAACTACAGTGTGTTCTTACCAGGGCTTTATACAGGTAATGCATGCCAGTTAGCTCACAGTAAACATGCAGCTTTTGTATTGAAGACATTGTGAGAAAGAGTTTCCCTGTTAGCTGCAGAGGTTACAAATACAAATCTGCAAATCTAGCATTGTCTTCCTTGTCACCCACATGGGCCTTGCAGTAGCAGCTCCAATTTATGAAATATTAAAAAACTTTACCACAGTCAATGTTCAGGACTATAAGTAGCAAATATAGTGCCCTGGGCAGAGATGACAGAGAGCTGGGAAGATGGAGGGAAGCATCAAGGACAAGAGAGCAGGAGTGGTGTGGAGTAGGAGAAGTCTTATGGGACCCTCAAACATCCACACTTCTACTGCTTCTGCCCACGCATTGGTGGCTGCTGCTGCCAATGGATAAATGGGCTCCTGGGAACCGTCAGTCTGGCAGTCCTCTAAATCAGTGCCCATGCCTACTCCCTCACACCTAGTTATACTGCTGGGAACACCTTTTCCTTATGACTGAATTCATCAGTATAAAAGATGAAGGCCAGTGGAAATGTCCCATAATCAGATTACAATTAGGGCCTGGTAATACTGATGAAGGAAGATGTGGTTAACTCTTTGAAGAAACTTTTGCAAGGCAAGCCCGGTTTACTTTATGATGGTGTAATACTATGTGATAAAACCAAATAAGAAATCATGCTGGAAAAAGATAAGGCTCAAAAAGCATTTGGAGTGTATTTGTTTTTTTAAAAGGTCTATACCACAGCAGGTGCAAGTATTATTGCACTGTAAAACTATTAAACGTGATACAAAGGTAGATTGGCAAGAAGCAAGATACGAAGAACTGAAGGTCACCGACAGAACAACCAAGCAGACTGTCCTAGTGTGGAGTTATTCTGAACCTCAGTGTGAATTTTTCTAGATTCCTCAGAAGAAGAAGGGATATTGTCTAGAAAAGTCACATTATACAGTAGAAGCTAAAAATTATCTCGTCTTCTGGGAACTTTTTACAGAGCTGTTCATCTACCTTTATCACAGCTCAAAACTCCATGCAATTTTAATAAAATGCATCATATCTAGTTTTCTAAAACGCTATTCTAAAGTTTCCAATTCTAAACACTACTATTCTGCACCACTATAATCACTCTGACCAGTATCGAGCCTTTCATCCCTGAAGTGCAAACTAGACAGAAGGACCAGCTCATTCAATACTGAAATACTGTTTTCACAGAGTAAAACTCACCTGCTGTTTCACAAACTACAGTGACAGTAAACTACAGTGAAAACTCCTCAACATTTGGGGATTTGAGGCCTGATTCTTCCCTTTGGTACATCAGCTTTTCTCTGGTGCAATGCCATGAAAACTACAGAATATAAAACTCGACATAATGGTAACTCAGGTCCTTCATACTGGTGCCATGATAAACCTGCGGTGTCTTCCACTTGTCGCACCAACTGCTAAGAGGCAAAAATTCCCAAATTATGCTTCTTCACATTAAGGCTTCCACTGAAGAACTTTAGTCTTGCTTGGCTGATGCCCATGAGCCAAAGAAAAATCAAAAGCTCATGACCTAAAGTTCAAAAATTGATCTGGTTTTACAAATCAGTGGCCTGGTTTGACCTACAAGTCATGTGGTGGTTTCCTTGCTGATGATACATCTTAATCATTTTGCACAATGTGCCAGAGCACAAGCTCCCTTAACATAGTCACATGCATGGTGACAGATGGAGCTGTCCATTGATTCGGGCAACAGTTCAAAAGAAAAACATAACAAATAAAATACTCCATTTCCCTTAATAGTCTGGAATACAGATATACAAGTTGAACTGCAGAATAATCATAACCTGACAAAAGGTTTATTGGTTTAATGTACCGGACCTTCAAACTGTAATAGCTAGAACACTTTTCATCTATAAAAAGATTGCATCATTGCACCAGTCATGCTTCCCTCTTACCTCTACTATGATCAAGTTATATCACTTTTAGTTACCAGTATATTTTTAAATGACTTGATAGGCACAAAAGAGGCTAAATCAAGGCTGAAGATTTCTGTATAATTCAGAAGCCTGATAATGGGGTAAGGAGACTTTTACCTCTTGGGCAGTGGTTCAAATCTGACTCAGGCCAGTACAGAACAGACCTGTCTATTGCTCAATCTGAAATGAGTTTTGTGGGCTCCATCCAGGTCCCATCAGAGTAAAGTCCACACCGCAAAAACCAAAACAAAATAAAAAGAAACCCACTAGCAGAACCAGCTTCCATGTTTTCGGTCTCAAGAAACAAGCCAAAGACTGGATGGATATAAAGACCATACTACTTTCTTATCCCTACAAACCTTATCCTATTCCCTTCCGAGGTCACAGTCAAGAAGCATAAGAACTGGTACAGATTGTACTGTTACCAGGGTACACAGTACCTGTTCCAGGGTAAGGGAACTTCAGTCTTCAGTAATGCTAAGCTAGCACCTTTCTCAGGATATTAATTAATTCAAAAGCACCAGCATGAAAATTTCTGCTGTTCCGATTATTCTCTGTACTGATTAACAGCTGCCTTGGCAGGCTTCTCATTATCATAGGCACTTCTCCTTAATTTTGCTTTCCTTTCTCTGTCCTATGCTCATCATAAATGAATAGGTAAATACATAAATCACTCATATCTTTTCTAGCAAAGCAATCCAGGCTCTGATTAACTAATTAACTGACCCATGCCCTGATACCTTTACTTCTGGGGTTGTCAGTCTGCTCCATGGGGAGTAAGCAGTCCAAAATCAGCTTTGACTCTGTGGTGGGGAACTAGCAGAAGAGTATATCCAACTGGCTGGTCTTACTAGATGGGCACCCTGCCTACTACCTTAGCCAAAATTCAAATCAATAACTTGTGATCCGGACTTAGACGGTCTGTCAAGTTAACCACGGGGCAGGGAAGCCCTTCTGGTTGATCCAGTTAGGGCTTGCTTAGCCTGCCTCTACTAGAATACAACCTTCAAGGAGAGGTGAGTTACACTACTCAGTTCTACCCAGCCATTGGACTAATCCCAGCAGCTCACCTTCCTGCTGTAGGGTATCTCAATTGACAACAGTATCTCCTCAGGCTTTAGCATTGTCTTTCTGTAGCCAGTAAAGAACTTTTCATCCACTGTTACAATCCTTTTGCCCTCTGGAGAACAAAAAGTAAAAGAAACAATGGGGTGAGGGAGTCTGTTATCATGCTCCAGCTTCATCTAGATAAAAAGTCATTGTCAGGCATGTAAAAAAGATTTTGCAGTTACATAAGACAAAATTGAACTGATGTTAGTTATTTTCCCTCTGATATTTTATCTTTTGCCAGAACCTGAAGTCCTTTCTCAATACTAATTCAGTCCTAAAACAGGGAAAATTTTTCATTGATTTCATTTGGACTTTTACAAGCACACAGACTGAGTTAAACAGAAAGGGAAGACTCAGATGTATCATAATAATCCCAATTCATTCCAAAACTTGGAGTGCTTCCATCATTCCAAAGTGCTTTTGTCACCATTTACAAGCAAATCTGGCAAGTCAGCCCTTTCCTAATTCTCTAAAGCAGTGGCACTCAACTGTCTGGCCCAATGGACCAGATGTGTGACAGGCCAGTTGATAGACCAGATCCAATCCCAAGCTACCCCCACATGGCAGGATGTGACACTGAGGCCCTGCGTAGCCCCCCACATGCTGAGATCGAGCTCCAGGGTTCCAAACTGCTTTCACCTGACTCCACCTCCACTGAGCTTTGCGCACTGGGATTGGGCCCTGGGGCCCTGTGCTGCCTCCACCCAGCTACACATGCTGAGACCAGGCCCCAGGATCCCATGCTACCTCTGCCCAGCCCACATGCAGGGGATCGACATCTAGGGCTCGGCACTGCTTCCACCCAGCCCCACACACTGGGATCAAACCCCATGTGCAGAATATATTCTGAGTCGCAAATACTATGCAGGACTTTATTATTTTTAAGACTAAAAGACAGGTGTCCTCCCTGATCTTAAAAAAAGGATCATGACTCTATGGGGATGGAACTATTTGAGTCACTTGTATAGTCAGCATAACCCCTTTACTTCCTCTCCAATCAATTTCCAATTCTTCTCACACTCTTTCTGTGCACATGTATGCACAGTGTGGTAGATTCCTTTTTACTTATCTTTTAAACAAAAGGGCTTTTTTATTAAGACTGACAAATCCAGATAGGCCCTGTGGTTCTCTTCAGCCACATTGATCTCAGAGGGTGCATCTACACATGCAATTAGCATGTAGCAATAAACGCCGGCACAGTTCAAGCTAGAATGTATTGCTCCTGGGCAGCACGTGTACACATGTGCCCAGGACCCCAGCACATTGAACCAGAGCAGAGCAGAGCAGCCCCAGCTGGCAGAAGGTCCAGGGGCCCAGCCTGTGACCCCTGGGCTGCTTCACCTCAGCTCAATGTGCTGTGGAGGAGCTGGAACACAAGGGTGCTACAGTATGGGGCTAGCATGCCCCAGCCAGCCCCGGTCACCATCTACATGTGCGCTTCAGTGCACTAAATGACTCTGCCATAGGATACAACTTGTCCCAGACAGTACTATCCAACAGCAGAGTTAATGAATTGACTGCATGATAATACAGGCACATGCGTAGGAGGTGATAGCCTGGCTGAGTTCCCTTCCCCAGCCTGATCCTAGCTGCTCTGCTCTGTTCCCTTCCCCCACCAGACTGAAATGTCAAAACAGCAAAACCATTTTGATGAATCGAAACAAAATAGTGTTTTCGAATCAAAACAAAACTTGAAACAAAAAAACTGTTCCAACGAAACAGATGCCAAAGCAGAATGCTGCTGTTTCGCACAGCCCTAGCTATGACTACCCTAGGGATATATCTACATGACATTGTACAGAAAGGACAGGGTGGGGAAGAAAGGGGGAGGGGTTGCGCTCTATGTCAGTGAGCAATATACGTCAACCCTCAAGGGGGAGGGGTTGCGCTCTATGTCAGTGAGCAATATACGTCAACCCTCATCAAGACGGAATCCAAGGATGAGGAGGTAGAAGGATTGTGGGTTAGGCTACATGGGGGGCAAGGAGAAAGGGATTTGGTGGTAGGGGTCTGCTACAGACCCCCACATCAAGGGGAAGAAAGGGATTCGGGGCTCCTGAGGCAACTCTCGGAAACCATAAAAGCTAAAGAGGCGGTAGTCACGGGGGACCTAAACTACCCGGACATCTGCTGGGAGTCACAGACAGCAAAGTCCCACCGCTCACGCAGGTTTCTAACCTGTGTACAGGACCTCCACCTGACACAGGAGGTACACGGTCCCACTAGGGGGAATGCCATACTGGATCTGGTATTGGCAATGGGGGATGACATGGTTGGGGACCTACAGATCGGTAGCCATCTGGGGGATAGTGATCACCTAATAATAGAATTCACCATAAGACGTCGAGTGGGTAAGGTAACTAGTAGGGTAAAAGTGCTAGACTTTAGGAAAGCTGATTTCAATGAACTCAGGCGATTAGTCAAGGACGCACTGCAGAGTAGGAATTTTGAAGTGATGGGAGCCCAAGAAGGGTGGCTGTGCCTTAAGGAAATGATCCTTCGAGCACAAAGCGAGACGATCCCCGAGCGAGGCAAAAGGGGGAAAGGGGCCAGGAGGCTTCCCTGGCTGACCAGAGAAATCCAGGGCAGCCTAAGGGACAAAAGGGGAGCACATAAAAAGTGGAAACAGGGAGAGATCACCAAAGATGAATATACCTCCTCTGCTCGTGCTTGTAGGGAGGCAGTTAGACGGGCCAAAGCTGCCATGGAGCTGAGGATGGCAACCCAAGTAAAAGACAACAAGAAATTGTTTTTTAGATATATTGGGAGTAAAAGGAAGGCCCAGGGAGGAATAGGACCCCTGCTAAATGGGCAGAAACAACTGGTGAC